TATTAAACTCCCAGAAGATAATAGCTGTACTGTGTGGGGAAAAAAATACATGATAACCGAAAGCTACTATATTATTTAGTAACATCTTTAAATGATTTCTACCATAGGGCAGGGGAAAGAAGACTGAGATTTGGGTTTGAATCCCCGCTCTATTAACTCCCACATGTCAGATCATTTTGACAAGTCATATAATCTCAAGTAGAAAATAAGGGTGGCTCTGGCCCCTTCTAGGCCTAAATCCATGATTCTACTCAAAGCACAAGAGCAATTCCATACATTGAGCAAATGGTCATACGGGAGAAACACTTTATTTACTCATTCTACTGCAGATACATTTGCTTTTTTTAATAACAAATTCAGCTCAAAAAGCATTTCTATATTGGGGGTGGAGCCAAGATGGCAGAGTAAAAACAGGAACTGGCTTGAGCTCTCCCTCACAGCCCTCCAAATACTTGTTAAAAAAAAAAAGGCCTCTAAACAAATTCTAGAGCAGCAGAACCCACAAAAAGCTAGAGTAAAACAAATTTCCAGGCCAAAACAACCTGGATGGTCAAGGGGAAAGCTCTGTTGTGCCACTGGGCTGGGAGAGGAGTGCAGTTCAATGTGGACCCCACAGGCAAAGATGGGGCTCCAGCAAACCCAGAAAAGGCCTCAGGGGACTGAATCAAGGGCAGTTGTGGCAGTTTCCAGACTTCTCAAACCACAAACGCCAAAGACAACTTAGAAGGTCAGTGGGAAAGGTCTGTCAGACCTGGATGAGAGATAAGCACGGTCCAGCCCTGGCCCTAGCGTGGCTCTGGGGTGGCAGCCACAGCAGCAGCAGCTGCTTCTGGAGTTCTCAGCCCACAGATGGTGGGGGGATCGAGCAGCTGATCAGAGGGGGATTGCAGGGAACACTTTGCTGGCTCTGAGGCAGGATTCTCTTGCTTTGCCCATGCTTGGATCTGGGTCCCAGTCCTGGGTGGCAGTCCTGGGGCAAGGAGGAGCACTAGCACAGCAGAGCTCGTGGCAGCAGTACAGACAGAACCCTCCTCTCGTTTCCAGGGCAGAAAAGAGTGCTTGTGGTCACTCACAGACCAGAGCACAGGCCAGGAGAGGAGGAAACACCTCTCCTTAGATCATATCACCTTGGAAGAAGTGAAAACTTACAGGTCCCTAGAAGTATCTCTGAAAACAAATGCACAAAACCCCTGAAGCTTGGGACAATACATTCTCCACACTGGAAGTAGACCCCTACCTTAACAAAGCATTTACAACTCAAGTAATTGGCCGGGATCATGACCAAACAGAGGGAAAAAAAAACTCAGACTACAGAATCTTACTTTGGTGACAAAGACACTCAAAACACACAACTAGAAGAAGACAACAACAAAGTCAAAGCTCCTACATCCAAAGCCTCTACTAAAAATATGAAGTGGTGTCAGGCCATGGAAGAGCTCTAAAAGGATTTTGAAAAGCAAGTAGGAGGGGTACCTAGGTGGCACAGTGGATACAGCACAGGCCCTGGAGCCAGGAAGACCTGAGTTCAAATCTGGCCTCAGACAAAACACTTGACACTTATTAGCTGTGTGACCCTGGGCAAGTCACTTAACCCCAACTGCCTAAAAATAAAAAAAAAAAATAATAATGATAAAAATTTTTTAAAAAGCAAGTAAGAGTAGAGGAAAAATTGGGAAGAAAAATGAGAGTGATGCAAGAAAATCATGAAAAATGAGTCAACAGCTTGCTAAAGGAGACCAAAAAAAAATACTGAAAAAAATAACACCTAAAAATACAGACTAGACCAAATAGCAAAAGAGGTCCAAAAAGTCAAAGAGGAGAAGAATGCCTTAAAAAGCAAAATTGGCCAAATGGAAAAGGAAGTCCAAAAGCTCACTGAGAAAAATAATTCCTTAAAACTTAGAATGGAGCAAATGGAAGTTAATGACTCTATGAGAAATCAAGAAATTATGGGGCAGCTAGGTGGTTCAGTGGATAGAGCATCAGCCCTGGAATCAGGAGGACCTGAGTTCAAATCCGGCCTCAGACACATAACACTCACTGGCTGGGTGACTGCGGGCAAGTCACTTAACCCCAACTGCCTCACTTAAAAAAAACAAAGAAAAAAACCAAAAAATTATAAAACAAAACCAAAAGAATAAAAAAAAAAAGACAGTGTGAAATATCTCACCAGAAAAACAACTGACCTGGAAAATACTTCCAGGAGAGATAACTTAAAAATTATTGGACTATCGGAGAGCCATGATAAAAAAAAAGCCCAGATATCATCTTTCAAGAAATTATCAAGGAAAACTGCCCTGATATTCTAGAACCAGGGGTTAAAATAGAAATTGAAAGAATCCACCAATCTCCTCCTGAAAGAGATCCCAAAAGGAAAACTCCCAGGAATATTATAGCCAAATTCCAGAGTTCCCAGGTCAAGGAGAAAATATTGCAAGCAGCCAGAAAGAAACAACTCAAGTATTGTGGAAACATAATCAGAATAACACAAGATTTAGCAGCTTCTACATTAAGGGATCAGAGGGCTTGGAATATGATATTCTAGAGGTCAAAGGAGCTAGGATTAAAACCAAAAATCACCAACCCAGCAAAACTGAGTATAATCGATGAGGGGAAAATATTGATATTCAGTGACATAGAGGAATTTAATACTTTCTTGAGAAGCAAGAGCTAACTATTTAGCTTTCAAATTGACTTTCAAATACAAGATTCAAAAGAATGAAAAGGTAAACAAGAAAGGGAAATCATAAGGGACTTATTAAAGTTGAACTGTTTACATTTCTACATGGAAAGATGATATTTGTAACTCATGAGACCTTTCTCATTATTAGGGTAGTTGGAGGGAATATATATAGACAGAGGCAACAGGGTGAGTTGAATATGAAGGGATGATATCTAAAAAAGAAAATTAAGAGGTGAAAGGGGAATGCACTGGGAGAAGGACAAAGGGAGAGGTAGAATGGGGTAAATTATCTCACATAAAAGAGGCAAGAAAAAGCTTTTACTGTGGAGGGGAAGAGGGGGGAGGTGAGAGGGAATGAGTTAACTTTACTCTCACTGGATTTAGTTAAGGAGGGAATAACATATACACCCAACTGGGTATAGAAATCTATCTTACCCTCCAGGAAATCAGGGGGGAAGGGGATAAGAGAGAGAGGGGTGATAGAAGGGAGGGCATATTGGGGGAGAGGATAATCAGAAGCAAACACTTTTGACGAGGGCCAGGGACAAAGGAGAGAATAGAATAAATGGGGGCCAGGATAGGAGGGAGGGAGGGAAATATAGTTAGTCTTTTACAACATGAATATTATGGAAGTGTTTTGCATGACTATACCGGTATAGCCTATGTTGAACTGCTTCCCTTCTCAATGAGGGCGGGGTAGGGAGGGAGGAGGGGATAGAATTTGGAACTCAAAGTTTTAGAAATGAACGTCAGAAATTGTTTTTACATGCAACTGGGAAATAAGATACACACACAAAGGGATATAGAAATCTATCTTACCCTACAGGAAAATAGGACGGGGAGGGGATTATGAGGGGAGAGTAATAGAAGGGACAGCAGATTGAGAGAAGGGGTAATCAGAATGAACGTCATCATGGGGTGGGGGAAGGGAAGTGATGGGGAGAAAATTGGGAACTCAAAATCTTGTGGAAGTGAATGCTGAAAACTAAAAATAAACAAATAAACTGGGGGTGGGAAGCATTTATACAGCTTCTACTATGTGCCAGGCACTGGGGGATCCAAAAACAAAAATCTCCACGATTTTCTGCCCCCAAGTGGGACACTCTTCTAAAGGAAATCATATCTGTACATATTGGTAAGTAAACACAAACTATATACCAAGTAATTTGGGGGTGGAGGGGAACACTAAGAACTGGGGAAATCGGGGAGATCTTCACACAGAAGGCCCCTTACTTAACTAAACAGGAAAGGAAACTCAGAATTCCAAATGCTGGTACTAAGCAGAGAGTACATTCTAGGCACTGGATTTCTGTGCAAAGGGTACAGAAGTGAGCAATGGACTGTTATGGGGGGGGGGGGCAGATCCAGCAAGTCACTTTGGCTGTAACACAGAGTACATCAAAAGGATTAAAATGTAAATCAATCCGAAAAAGGTAGGCCAGTCTGGAGCCAGATTATGAAGGGCTTTAAATGCTAAACATAGGAGTTTGGATTTTAACTTCGAGACAACAGGGAGCCACTGAAGGGCCTTCAGTAGGAAAGGTACATGGGTAGACCTGTGTTTTAAGAAGCTCCATTTGGCCATTATGTGAAGGCTGAACATGAAAGGGGAAAGACCAGAAATCAGTCAGATCAATGAGGAGGTTACTGCAAAAGTCTAGAGACTGGGCCAGAGTAGCTGCAGTATGAGGGGACAGAAGAAGATGACGTTACATTTATTGTGGAGGAGGGCTGATAGGCTTTGGCTCTGATTGGCTCTCTAATTTGCTGGAGATACAGAAAGATCCAAATGACAGTGCTTAGCACGCATACCATTTTGTAGACCCTTTGTAATAACTAACTTCAAACCCTGAGAGGGCTCTGCTACCCACAGGTTGGGGACCATTGTACTACCCTATAATCTAGAGCATTGATCTTTTCCCCAAATATGGAATTATTTTTAATAAATAAGGAAGACATTTGTGCTTTTCATGACACTTTACTTAAAACCTCCAGTCTTACGTGGATAAGACCATACCAACTCTACTCCAAAACTCTCTTAACTACTCCCAAAGCAGTGTATTTCAGTCTTACTGGTTTTTAATTTTTTAAAAATATCACCCTTTAGATTACTGGGTAGTTGTGAGATACATAATAAATTCTAATAAATTTAATATCCACAGTTGAGAGCATTTTTAAGGACATAATATAAACAAAATGTGGTGGGCTTTTTCCTTTTCACATAGCCAAGCAGGGTGAGTGGATGAAGAAATCTGAAGATTTACACATAAGGGCAAAGCAAAGAAGGCCACGCTCACCCGTTGCTGTGGCTACTCACCGACTTGGAAGTGGCGGAGATGTACTGGACGACCATCTCATGCTTCGTGCCGAAATCTTTATCTCGGAGGGGAGCTTTTCGTTCTTCATTTAGATTCATGTCTTCCTAATAACACAGAGAACACACACTGTCAAACACACACTGTCACATTGTTATGTCCATTTCTGAAGCCCAAACAACACCGTCACCAAAGAAGGGCTAGCTCATCGTGCAACCTGTGAGCACGTACATGTCTCTATCAAAGGAAGAGTTTCTTTCAGAGAAACTTCCTAATCATGTTCCTCCTTTGTCCCCACTCCATACAGATCTCTTTTACCCTTAAAATTCACTGTCAACCATGCACCTTCCATAACAAAGCTACTCGACTTGTAACAAAAGGAGATTCTAGAAGCTTCCTTCCTCCCTCCAGGAGTACTCCTCAGAGCAGCACCATGAAGAGACCAATATGATTTCCAAAGTCACATTAGAATCAAAGTCCAGAAGGGATCACTGGAATAGTTCCAGCGAGAACTTCCACAGAGTTTCAGAGAACCTCCAGAGAGAGGTTCCTCTCTCTGCTAAAAAATGATAAACCATAAGAGTAAAATGCTACAAGTTCTGTCACCCATAATCACTTTGTTAAACAGTTTTGTTTTAAAATACTCTTAAGGAAGGATATTAAGAAAATAATAATAATAGCTTACACATATATGGCACTTTAAGCTTTGAAAAGCACTTTACAAATATTATTTCATTTTATCCTCACAAAATCCAGTGAGTAGGTGCTATTATCCCCATATTTAATGATGGGCAAACTGAGGCCCAGAGAGGTTAAGCAATTTGCGAGGGGTCACACAACCAGTAAGACGGTAAATGCCTGAGGCAGGATTCAAGATTTGGAGAAAGTATTCTATCCATGTGTCAAAGGACTATTGGGGTATACAAGGGGGAAGGAAGGTGTTGATTAAGAAGTAATAGACATACCAACAAAATATTCTTAAAGGTAAAGCTGGAGAAAAGATGAACAATAAAAATGCTGGAAAGAGAAAAAAATCCACTCAATTAGAAAGTAACAAAAGCATACCACCACATCAAGGAACTCTTTGCCTTTTGGGGATCATAATATCCTACTATCTTTTGTTTAATATTATATCATAGGCAATCCTCAAAAGGAGATCATATAACACATATTTTACTAGACAAAATTCACTTTCGGATGTATGACATACCTTCAGACCTGGGGAGACAACCTGGGGTGTCACAGGACCAGGACTGAGAACAGCTGAGATGTATGATACCTTTAATAGAAATGATTTCTAGCTCTCTGTCCTCAGTCCTCTTCTCTCCCAACACCTACTCTTCTTGGCAAGCCCACAGTTTCAACTAATTACCTCTAGTCCAATACAGATAACTGGGCAGACCACTACATAAAGCAGAGAGTACAGTTAAATTATTTCAAGACTAAGTTCCACGAATTCTTAGAAGCCTGACAATTTTTTAAGATATCACCTTAAAAAGGGACCACCAAAATAGCATCTCCTCTCAACTAACAAAGGAAAACATACAATAAGATTAATTGAATCAGTTTGTTTTGGTTTTTTTTTACAGTGTTGCCTAAAATAAAGTCAGTACTTTCTGTATATTAAAAAAGGCAATGACATGGCCAAAACGGACTCAAATCTACCCCGCCATTCCCTACCCAAAAAAGCCTACCTGACAATCAACACCCTCAGAGACCGAGCTCATACTGTTCTCCCTGCCCAGAATCTTCTCCTTCCCGTTCACTGCCTCCTGCCACAAGTCCATTCAGCTTTCCTCCCTCACTTTCCACCAGTGCCCCCTGCCATTTCTACCTACTGAACTACAATCAAATCAATATAGCCTTTGTAAGAAAAGAGTATGTCAAGCTACTTCCCTATGGCTAAACTCATCATCCAGGTAATTTCACAGACTCAAAAACCTCTGCCTAGCTACCACACTCCTAAATGTGCTATGTGTCTATTAGCACATAAGCATCTGCAGGGCAGGCGGGTACTGGCCTGCTTTTGGATCTGCAGCTCCAGCACTTAGCGGCATCTTGCCACACAGTAAGAGCTTAATGAGGACTGGTTCCTTCACTGACTCATTTCCAGTCAGTGACTCCCCATGCACTCCACCTCCACCTTGGCCTTCTCAGAGCACTTCGCTTTAATTCATGATACAATGTATTTACTTCTATGTTTGATCCTGAGGTATGCTGGAGCCAGCTCAAACTGGCTCACGGGAGGTGATTGTGACATTTAGACCACAGCAAGTGGCAAACACTACAAATCAAGACCTTGAGTTATTGTTTTGTTGATTGTCTAGGCCAAAGAAAGTGATGGGAGAAAATGTTAATAACACAGATTAAATTTAAAAGTGTGTTGTGAGAACACTTTTTCCCAGAAAGCCAATTGTTAAAAATTAACCAGAATACAACTGTTCTTACCCTTCAACTAAGGTAAGTTAGGCCTCTTTCTATCTAAACTTTATCTATATTCAAGCACCATCTGCTTGCAAAAATCTATGATAAACATCTGTGAATGAACTTATACAATTACCTTCACATAAATTCGAATACAAAAGTTTTCAATTTTGGATGAAGGGTACTGAACACAAAGGGAGAGAAAAAAAAGTACTATGTCCCTTTTGTTCAGACTATCTCAAAGTGTTTTACAAGAGTCAGTAAATTTTGCTTTTTGACTCTAATTTGCTAAGTGGATAGGGAGAAAAATCATCAACCCTTCTGGGCCTCAGTTCCTTTATCTGTTGTTGTTCAGTCATGTCCAACTCTTCATGACCCCCTTTGGGGTTTTCTTGGCAATGATACTGGAGAGGTTTACCATTTCCTTCTCCAGCTCATTTCACAGATGATGAAACTGAGGCAAACAGGGTTAAGTGACTTGCCCAGGGTCACAAAGCTAGTAAGTGTTTGAGACAAGATTTGAAATTGAAAAGATAAGCTTTCCTGACACCAGTCCCGGCACTCTATCCACTACACCACGTAGCTGCTCAATCTGTGAAACTGGAACACTCCTTAATCTGCCTTCATAGAGGGAGTGAATTAGGTTCCCGCCAGTTTAAAGATCAAAAAAAAATTATGATCACTCTACTGATCAAATTATACTGATCCACAAATTCTTCTGAAAAAGAAATTTGATAGGGTCACAGATTTAGAGTTGGAAGGAACTTTGGTGTCCGATACCTTCATACTGCAGGTGAGAAAACTGAGACCCAAAGAGATTAAATGATTTTCCAAAAGTCACTCAGGTTATAAGTAGCAGAGCTCAAGACTGGAAGCCAGGTACTTTTACCTCAAATCCAATGCTCTTAGCAGTTTACCACTATTAAACAGTCCTCCGATTTAATAATAATAAGTAGACTTTTCCCATCAGTCAAAGCTTCTTATCATTTAATTCAAAGTTTATAATGTAATAGTAAAACTGATGGTATATTTAAAAACTTTTTAAATTGTTATTTTATTCTGAACTTAACACCTAATAAAATGGGCATTTCCATATATGGTTGAACAGAAAAAGCAGACTATGTGAAAACATGGATCTCCACAACATCCTAAATCCAAGCTGTAGTTTTCAAAGCTGTCCTAGTTCTCTGTGATTCTTTCTGACCCTCTGCCTGATTTCTTCTGCACATTTTTAAAAGAAGATGCTCTCTTTTCCTTCTTTTCTTTTTCTTTTTGCTACCCTTACCCTAACCAAACTCTTCTTCCCATCTCATGCCAATGGATTAAAAGGAAAAAGAAATCCTTCACATAGAAACTTGCTGAGATGATTTTTTTCCCCAGGTAACCTGTTTCCCTTCTACTATTTAACTGAATTGCTTTTGTTTATGTAAGAACTTTTAAATTTTATATATAAAAAAAATTGCCCTTTCCCCCCTACTTTCCCCTCTCCCTCTCCTGAATTAGAGAGGAAAATGGCCCACAACAGTAGTAACCAAGTCCTTTAAAGTAGTAGTGCCAAACTTCAATAGAAACAGAGGCTACTAAACTATCCAGAAGGATCCCTGCAAGAACACTGGCCCAGAAAACCACATATTAATATTATCTATGTTTTACTGCATTTTATTCTATTTTGTTAAATATTTCCCAATTATATTTTAATCTGCTTCAGGCTACACTCAGGAGTATTATGGGTGGCATATGGCTACCAGTGGGCAGCCTGCTTGATACCACTGGTCTAAAACAATACTAACAGTGTTAAGAAGGCTCAAAATGATTCTCTATACCTAGTATGTAGCAATATGGATCACTGTTCATCTTACAAATAATATGTAATTCTACTGAAGATGAGTGAGCTATCAAACCAACCTGGTTATCTACCGCAAAGTACTAGAAGTATTTGAGTAAAATATGTGTCACCTCTTATGAAAAATGCAACTTGGGTCTTCAGTGGGTCACATCAAATGTTATTCGTATGCAATAATATTTATCAAGTACTCATGTAAACCCAGGTGTTAGTTCTGACATTTTTTAAGGCAAAATCATTGCCTGCTGAGTTTATGGACACAAAAGGGAAAAGATTCAGCCAAGCAGTAAACGCATTTGGTTTGTTTCCTTCATTTTAAACCTGACAAAGAGGGCAAAAGCACAGAGGGCATGACTGGGTTTTATGTAGCACGTCAGTACTAATACAACTGTTTGCATTCGAAAAATATTCAAGCCACTCTGAAAACTAAATAAAGCCATCATTTCACTTTTCACAGATGGCCAAAGTTGTAGTACTGCATACTTAAGAAAGGAGTAGAGGTCAATCTTTTTTTTTTTTCCCCAAAGGGGCCCCCTCCAAGAGCTCACTTTTTAAGCGTGTGTCACTATGGGATATAATTAACCATGGCTTATGTTCATATAGGAGCACTCTAAGTATTCAAACCAGTTTAGTCTAACTATCCACATGGGAAATAAAGACTAAGTAGGTAAAGAACATCAAAAGTCTAGACCCAGGTTATGCAGCTGGATGGATTATCAATCAACAAGCATTTCTGAAGCACCTACTATGTACCAGGTAGTGTGCTAAGCACCGAGTGTGCCCTCAAAGAGCTTACATTCTAATGATAATAGAACAGTGGACAATAAAGCTGGGTTAAAG